TCTGTTATTTACCCAGTGAGGTAAAGTGCTCCAAGTATTTTACTGTAGTGAGAGGTGCCTGACTGACGTAAAATACTTAATACAAAATAAGAGAGAAAACAAAGGAATTTTACAAGCTCTTCTAGGACAAGAGATTACATTTCTTCCACATCCACTTCCAGATCCAAATCTAAATGGCTCCCTTGTCACTGGGCCCCAACTCCAGCCACTCCAGAACATTCTTTCAAAGATCCCTGAGCAGCTTCTCCTAGGCCTGGGGGCAGACCAAACAGAACTCCTGAATCTGGAGTGGGGGTTGCACCTCTCCTTTCCTCCCACTTGGCTTTCTTCCCTCTGGGGTTAGCACCCTGGAAGGGCCAAGGAATCCAGAAAGGGGCAAGTCAGAGAGCCAATCCACCCTAGGCCCTGAGGCCTGCTGAAGATTCAGCCCAGTCAACTCCTGAGAGCCCAGGTTGGTTACAGGGTGCCCCCTGGTGGGCAGGGATTGATCCACAGGTTAACAGATGTGCTCAGAGGATCCTGATCTGCTGGTTCTATCTGGTCACTTTTCTTTTTCTTTCTTTCTTTCTTCCTTCCTTCCTTCCTTCCTTCCTTCCTTCCTTCCTTCCTTCCTTCCTTCCTTCCTTCCTTTTCTTTTTTGTTGTTGTTTGTTTTGTTTTGGTACTGGGGCTAGAGCCCAGGTACACCAAACCACTGAGCTACATTCTCAGCCCTTTTATTTATTTTTAAAATTATGAGACAGGGTCTCGCTAAGTTGCTTTGGGCTTTGCTAAGTTGCTGAGGTTGGTTTTAAACTTGTGATCCTCTTGCTTCAACTTCCTGAGCCATTGAGATTATAGGCGTACAACACCATGTTTTAAGAGCACAGCTCATGCACCAATTTGTAAATGTTCCCATGCCACATGTCCTTCAGTTCACACCCTATGGATCATCTCTTTCACTAGGGAAGACTCTCAACATGATGCTCCCTCACCTCTGCTCCCCAAATTCCTTTCCTTTCTTTGATCATTTGGTTTGCAAAAATAAGGTAAAATGAAAACCTACCAAGGCTTCCATACCAGGTGCTTTGCAAAGTAAGAATTTTAACTCAGGAATTCAAAAGCCTGCTCTTCACCCACTCTGCTGTGTGGACATCTGCCCACCTGGCACTTCACACAGAATGGCCCCTCCTTGGAGAACGATCCTTTTCTTCCAACTTCAGGCAGTGCTGTGTTTTCCTTCTCTCCAGGTATGGCCCTGAAAGGTCATCTATGACAGGGGTGGAGATTTTCAAAATGTGATATCCAATCCACAAGAACTTACCTGCATAATTCAGTAGTACACCTGTGGGCCCCAGGTGTTCCTGTGCAAGAACATGGAGCCAGAGTCCACAATGCAACTCCCAGGACAGCATGACATCAGAGAAGCCCATTGGATATGGAGCCAGGGCCTCATCCACAGTCCCATGTTGACCAATCCCATTGACCATGGCTGTTCTCCCTTCAAAGCTCTTCCTGCACCCCTCTCTCCTCTCTTGCCCTCCTCTGGCTCCACTTGAAGTCCTGGTTTTCAGTGAACAGCTTGATTTCTGTTTCCCAGCCACCTTTCCTGAGACTCAGTCCTGTTGGTTTAGCTTCCCACCTTAACCCAACAGCAAGCAGGCTTATTTTGCCTCAGGTGATTCTTGTCATCTTGGGTGGCACTGCAGGCAGGAAGCGGAGAGGAATGGCAGGCAGGGTGGCACTTCTGATGCCCTTTTGCCCTGGCTGTTGAGCATCCTCAGGCATCTGATACTCACAGGACAAGGGGAAGATGTAAGGGGCAGGCTTKCTGGTGCTCCTCTGTGGGAGGACAGGGACATCGGAAAATCCTTGGGGCATGGGTGAGGCATAAACCTGGGAAACGCCTACCCCTTGGCCTTTCTGATGCTTCAGAATCAGGTACGTAGCCGTTGTGGCATTGAGCTTCCTCTTGGCCAGAGACACCCAGGATTTTGTATGAATCAAAACCCATGTCAAAGAGGATTGTCATTACTGGGGGGGTCTAGGTGTTTGGGGAGTGCCACACTATAATGATGGGGTACATACTGCTCACCCTGCCTCAGCCATGGGTGCTGTAAGATTTGCTTGACTGTGGGCCACTTCTTGGGGTCCACAGTATTTTGCAGATGAGGCTTTGGGCTTTGATGGGACCAGAGTGAAGGGTGTGGTACCTTGGGAGAACRGTCAAGTCGTGGTCCCTGTAAATGGGCAGCTCTTTCTTTCTTTTTGTAATAGGCAAAGATTTTTTGGATAAGACCCACCGAAATATAAGAAACAAAAGTGAAAATAGACAAATGGAAAAAAAAACTAAAAACAATTAACAGAGTATACTAACAATCTCCAGAACCAGGGAAAATGTTTGCAAGCTATACATCTGATAATATCCAGACTACATAAAGGAATTACAAAGATTTAATAGCAAAACAACAAATAATCTGGTAAAAAACCAGCAACAGATCTAAATAGATATTTCTCAAATATATATATATATACAAGTATCCAACAGGCACATGAAAAATTGATCAACATCAATCATTAGGAAAATGCAAATGAAAATCACAATGATATATTAACTCGCCCCAATAAGAATGGCTAAAAAAAGACTAAAGATAACAGACGCTGGTGAGAATGGGGAGAAAAGGGAACATTTGCACACTGTTGGTGAGATTGTAAATTAGTATAGCCATTATGCAAGGCAGTATAAAGGTTTCTCAAAAACCTTGAAAATAGAGCTAAGATCTGATCCAGCAATCCTCCTACTGAATCCATCCCAAGGAAATCTGTAAGTTGCAGCACTATTCACAACAGCCAAGAAATGGAAACAACGTAAGTGATCATCAACTAATGAATGAAGGAAATGTGCTATGTAAACAAAATGGAATACTATTCAGGCATAAAAATACGAAACCCTGTCATTTATTACAAGATGATAAACCAGAGATCATTTTGTTAAGTGAAATAAGGCAGGAACAGGAAAGCAAGTACAGTATTGTTCTCCCTCATGTACAATGTAAAACAGCTGATCCAATAGAGACTGAGGAAAATAGTGGTTACCAGAGGCCAGTGAAAGTAAGGGAAGRAGGGAAGGATGGGAGAAGCTTGATCAATGGGTACTAAGTTAGATAGGAGTAACAAGTCTAGTGTGCATGGTGGGGTGATTGTAGATTACAATAATGTGCAGTACATTTTAAAAAACTAGAAGAAAGGATTTAGAAAGTTTTCAGCATAAAGAAATGATAAGGGCTGGGGTTGTGTCAGCGGTGGAGTGCTTGCCTTGCACGAGCGAGACCCTGGTTTTGATCCTCAGCGCCACATACAAAAATAAACAAGTGAAATAAAGGTGTTGTGTCCAACTACAACTAAAAAAATAAATATTAAAAAGGAAATGATAAATGTTTAAAAAGATATATATGTTTAGCCTGATTCAAACATGTAATATATACAAGCATTGAAACATTCTATGGTACGCTAATATGTAAAAAATTTTGTTTTTATGTATCAGTAAAAATAAAATTATATGTATGTGTATGTATAGGTATACATATATATGTATTTATATCATATTATTTTATAGAGTTCCTGTGGAGGTTTTTAGACTAACAGGGAATTTTATGCATGTTAAGAGATGTATACTGGATTCATTTTTTTTTTTTTGCATGTGAACACATTTCAGACAATTTTATATTTGTGGCAACTGGGATTGTAAGAGCCTCAAAAGACCAAAACTTTGATACCCCTCCCCCTCCCATGCCTTTCACAAGTAAGTAGTCTTTTCATGTAGGAGAAGAATTTGCATCTAACATGAGATCTAAATGCGCAGTAGGTTTATTTAACTTGTTATTCATCTTTCAGCATTTCAGTGTGGAAACTTTCTATTGATATATTTTCATTTTTACTGATTTTCACTTGTGTCCATCTACTGATAAGCCATCAAAGGCATTCTTCATTTTTTATAGTGTTTTCCATTTCCAGCATTTCCTTAGGATTCTTTAAGTTTCCATCTCTCTATTCATATTACCCATTCTATAATTGCATGTCATTCACATTTTTTCAGTCCTTAGCACATTACTCAGTTATTTAAAATTCCCATTTAATAATCCTCAAATGCATCATACCTAATCTGGTTCAGATGCTTACTGTGTCTTTTAGCAACTCACCTTTAGCCTTGTTGTTGTTGAAAGCTGAATGTGATTTGTTGGATAATAGCAACTAATAGGCATTTAGTGTGACTGACTTAGGCTGTGTTTAATATTAGCTTATAGCTTAAAGTGCCAGAGACTTCAAACTATTTTTAGTTTGTTCAACTTTTTCCTGGTGGTAAGGTTGGGAGGGCAATTTCTTAGCATTTTACATGTGGAAAAAAAGTTAGGTCCTTTTTATTATTAATCTTTAAGCAGAAATTAGCTATTTCTCTGATCATTTCTTGTACTTAAAATTCTTTAAAATGGACTTTCGTATCTAACCAACAGTAAAAAATGTCAGACTAATATTGGGCTATCATCTGTTCTGTTCTCTCATTGGTACCTGGACCATATGGCAGAATTAAGATCCATGTGGCTTTGCATATTTTATCCCCAAAGTTTATTAACAGTGTTTGTGAAGGGCGAGGTGAAGGTTCCTGGAAGCACAAACCACCCACTGTAACCCAGCACAGCAGCCGGTGACCAGGACTCCCACTGCCAAGGCAGGGTAGGCATTGAAGGCACAGGATGCTCAGGGCGTGAAAGCGTCTTCGACCCAATATACTAAACAATAGTTTGTGTATTTCTTGCAAATAGTTTACACAGGTCTCAGCGTGGCTTCTAACCCAGCGTACAGACCCTGGAGGGAAATCTTGAGTTCCCTAGCGGTCTGCAAAAGCCTTGCAGCTGGACCTGCGATGATCTGAACTTCGCGCCTGTCTAGTTCAGACCTATTAGAAGGAGCCCCCTCTGCCTGCCTCCGAAGAAGCTCAATGTTGATTGGATCTTTCCGTGACCAATGGGAAGCCGCGTCCTGCGCGGGCTGGGCGGGCGGGTGGCGGCGGTTGCCGGGACACCGCGTAAACACTGGAGCGCGCGGTCCAGCCAGTGTCTCTTCTACCTGGTGGAGCCTGTGGGAGCCAAGATGGTGAGCCAGTTGAGGGACTCACAACTACTTATTTATGGTTTAAAGCTCGTCTACCTCTGAAACAGGACTCGGAAGTGCTTAATCTGAGAACTAAGTGGGAAACTTGTGTTTGCTTTTCAGGGGCGTCGGGTGCTGTTACTTAAGGGGCAGTCGCAGTGATTTCCATTCACTGGCACCCYCCACCCCCACCCCCACCCCCGCCCTGCACATTAGTAGATCTATTTTAAAATCTGCCTTACAGGAATTSTGAACCAATGAGTGGAGATATGGGTCTGGGACAGAGCCAACAGATTAGTAGCAGCGGTTTACCTATTAGTTTATATTAGGAAAAGCTGGCCAGCTTCTGAATAGTACTTTGTGGCCGTGTGGTGTGGTGGTGGGTGGAAGGAGAGGAGGAATTCCCGGGGTAGTGGTTAACAGCTGGGTCTGTACAATTCCATGGCCTATCTTTGAAGCCTAGTATTGGTGCTTAGAAGCTGCGGGACCTTGGGTTTAATTTCTTTTGCTTTTCATACCTCATCTATGAAATAGGGAATAATATTGGTAGTTATTTAATTAATGAAGTATTAAGCTACTACATTTACTCTTTTATTAGGTATACTCTGAATTTAGGAAAGAAGCCAAAGATTCTTCATTATTATTATTTATTTTGTTGTATTACCTCAATATATTTTTAAAATCGGATTTGGGGATATTTCAGTATGCACATTTTATCCATTATAGGCTACCCCAAAGAGAACTTTGAACTTTAGTGAAAGGCATCAGAAATTAGTAGATGAAAACTTTCGCAGAAATTTGGATATTAAAGCACTAAAAGAGATGCAGACTCAAATCAGCAAACAAATGGAGAAGAATAAAACTGATGACAGTATTGAGTGCAGGAGATTCCTCAGATTATTACAGAATGAACAGTTCGAGTTGGATATGGAAGAAGCCATCCAAAAAGTAAGTTTTACTATGATAGTTACATTTTTCTCCCCTTCATTTTCACCTTGGAAATGATAAAAGCCAACTGCTAATACTGTAGTTGTTTAGAAAGACAAAAGTCAGGTAAGGGATGCCTTATTGTAAGTCATCCAGTATGGATATGAAGAGCCAACTTTCTGGAGCTAGACTGGCTTTTAAAATCCTATACTATATCATACCTGCAGAATCTCAGGTATTTTGCTTTTACTTTTCATCTTCATCTACAACTTGGGGAGTAATAATGGTACTTCCTACTCAGAAATTTTTAGTAATAAGTAAATACATGCACAACCCTTGTTATGCCTAGTTATTGGCAAGAAGAAATGCCCAGATTTTTTAACATAAATGTGAAATGCATAATTATTAACTTCCACAGTTCATGTGTTACTTTCTATATATTTCTAAGGACAAAAATATAAGGATGTCTTTTCTGAATTTACTGAAATTAAACAGGTACATTATGRAGTGGTAGAAACCGAACACTTACATATTAGGTATAAATTTATTCCTATTTTAAATACTACTTTGAATAATTCATATATGTATATGTACCACATATATGTATGTAACTCCTAAAATATGGAGATCATTTTTCAATGCTATTTCTAAATATTTTAAAGGATAGAAAAAGGGAAACCTATAAGTGAGATACAGGAGAGAAATGAAGTCTCATAAATGTGAAGGAAATATTATGATACTAGTTTTTTGAGTGCCGGCTGTATATTCCCCATCTTGTAGGATATTGCAGGGAATAGCAAAACCAAGTTTTAAAAGTTGTATCCATTCCTTTGTGTTCCAAATTCCAAAAGCTTAGATGTGATTTTTTTTAACTTTGAGCAAGCAGATTCTATTCAATTTTTTCTATCACTTTTTGAGAAAATCCCAGATATTATACCATCTCTCTCTCTGCATGTTTTAGTATGCATCAAACAAAATATGGATAGTTTCATGGAGTACCCTAATGACATTATTTTAAACAAATTTAAAATTTCTTAAACAAATTTCTGTGACTATATCAAACATTGGCTTTTACAACTTTTTGTTTTAATCAGGGCCCAGTATAGTTCATACAGTATATTTGCTTGCTATGTCTAAATCCCTTTTAATCTAAAATAGCTCCTCTTTCATCCTTTGTGTTTTTAACTTCATGTTTTTTAAATATTTCTATAGTTGTAGATGGACATAATACCTTTATTTTATTTATTTATTTTTATGTGGTGCTGAGGATCGAACCCAGTGCCTCATATATGCTAGGTAAGCACTGAGCTATAACCCTAGCCCTAACCTCATGTTTTTAACTTATTAAAATTACCTAGGGCAGTTGTTTAGTGTTCCACATTCTGTATTTATCTGTTTCCTCATGTTTTCTTTACTTTATGTCTCTACTTCTTATATTTTCTCTAAATGGAAGTTAGCCTTAAAGAAATGATTAGTTTGAGATCAGGTCTCTTGGCAAGAATGCTTCATAGGTGATACTGGCATTGTGTCACATCCTAAGGAACCTGAGGTCTGGTCATTCCACTTTTAACAATACCAGTGTTAATCACTGGGTTCAGTGAGACAGCCTCCTTCCTTAATTATAAAAGTTCTCATCAAACTTTCATAGGTAGTTTCACAAAAAAATTTTTCTTTCATTAGAAGTTGCAATAAACTGATTTYTATATTATTCCTTTCACATTTAATTAGCGAAAATTCCTTCATAATGAACTTTTCCTCATCAACTAGACTCATTTGTTCTTACTGGAAAGGGGGATAAATGGTTAATTTTAGAGTAGATTGGTATCTATGTTGTTTAAATTTTTTGTTTTCTTTAGTTTTTGAATGTTTTTTAAAATATCTGAACTCATGGGTGTTTATATACTTATAATTACATTATTATTCTTTTTTGATGCTCAAATTATCTTGTCCTTGGCCAATGAATGCTTTTTTATATTGCTTCTGTGCTTTTTTAACAAGACACCCTTAATCTTTGATATCTTCCTTGCTTTTTATCAGAACAATATGTTTTAGGCTTGTGGTGGTTAATTTTGTTTCAACTTGACAGGGCCATGGCGTGCTCAGGTTATTTGGTCTAACATTGTTCTGGTGTTTGGGCTAAGACTAACATTTAAATTGGTAGATTGAGTAAAGCAGATTGCCTTCCCTACTGAGGGTGGGCCTCATCCAGTCAGTTGAAAGCTTGAACTGAACAAAAACACTGACCCTTCACCAGATAGAAGAGAATTCTTCCTGCCTGACTGATGCTTTTTCCCTGCCATTGGCCTCAAACTGAAACATTAGCCTTTTTTAGGTCTCATGTTGCTGGTCTTTGGACAGGAACTATATGTAGGTCCTCCAGGTTCTCAAGCCTTCAGACTCAGACTGGAATGAAACCATTGCCTTGTCAGCCTGGCAGTGTACCCTGCATTTCACTCTTCTCCCTTTCCTTATTTGTAATTGCCTTCTCCAACAAAAAGAAGGTTGGCTGTTGATATCTACATAGCTTTCCTTTATTCTTTCAACCCTACTATACACATAAAGTACTTTTGGAATTGCTTACCTGCATCCCTACGAGAAACAAATTTACTTCTGAAGTACAGACTGGTATAGTTCTTTCTGTCTTTAGTCTCCCATTATTGAATCAAACATTGTTTCCCAAAGTTCACGTCCACGTTCCTGTTCTCCTCTGGTGTGGTTATGTGTTTCACTTTTAATAGGTTAATTTGCCGTAGTCTACACTCTATTGTTTCCCCCATATCTGGTTGTTTTTGTTCCTCTCTTTAACTTTTTATGTTGAAACGATTATAGATTCTCAGGAATTTGCAAAGATGGTATGGAGAGCTCCATTAGGTGCTCTTGGCCAGTTCTCCCCACTGGTCAAGTCTTACATAATTGAAGTATAATATCAAACTCTGGAAAACGACATTGGCACAATATATCTGTATACTTACATGTTATTTTATTACATGCTCAACCACCATCTYAAATTATAAAACTATTTTATCACCACACAGATCTCATGTCTGCTACTCTGTTGTAACATGCACTTCTTTCAACCCTTACTGTGACTGGCAACCACTACTTTTTTTTTCCCCCATCTCTGTAATTTTTTCTTTTCAAAAAGTTACATAAATTTAATTTAAAAAGTTAAGCATACTAACAGAGCAGTTCTGCTTCTAAGTATATACCCAAGAAATTTGAAAAACATATGGGAATTCTTTGTATTTTAATTTTTCTATGAACCCAAAATTCCAAAGAAATAAAGTCCATCTTTTTAAAGAGATAATAGTAATGGTTGCACAATATTGTAAGTATACAAAAGCTACTAAGTTGTAGATTGTGAAAGGTGAATTTTATTCACCTAAATTATATCAATTTTTAAATTATTTTAAAATTATCTCAATTTTTAAAAAAGGATGTTCCAAGAAGGTTACATAGRTAGCATCAGACAGTATTTAACATATTGGGAATTGGCTTTTTCCCCTACTCAGCATGATCCCTGGAGATTCACCCAAGTTGTTGTTTATATTCCTTTTTATTGCTGAGTAGTATTCCAAAGTGTGGATATACCTAAATTTACTTGATCATTCACCTGATGAAGGTTGTCTGGTATATTTCTAGCAGTGGCTATTATGTGCCGCAGTCTGGCTGGGCACAATTCAGGAGCCACTTGTCAAAAGAAACAAACTTTATTTTTAGAACCACACACCAAACCACACAGCTCCTCAGGAAAAACCTTCAGAGCCCAACTGCCACCACCGACTTCCCACAAGCCTCTCAACCTCCCCCTACT